CGTGGATTATTGGATTGCTAGGTTGTTAGTGATTCGATATAGAACGGTCTAGGATGTTGAATGATTGGTTATTGGTTTATGAAGTATTATTTAATGGTTTATTTGCATAATTGATTTCCGCTGAATGTTTGCTGTATTGAGAATTTTAGCATGTTGAGGGTTAGCATTTATGGGGATGCTAATTCGGTGCTAATTTATATATATAAAAAAAACGGATCGGGTTGTTTCAATTAATTCCACCGTTAATATTGATCCAAAAAGTGAATACTGAGAAAAGCAAGAAAACAAGAACAATTAAAATTGGGCTAATCCAAAATTAGGATTGGAAATTAGAACTTGATAAAATTAGGATTGGAAATTAGATATTTAGGTTTGGAATATAATTTAGAATTAAGATTGGAAATTAGATATTTAGGTATGCAATTTAGAATTAAGATTGTAAATTAGAACTTGATAAAATTTAGTATATAAATATTTTATCATGATTATAATTAATATTATGGTTTAAAAATATTAATTTATTTCATTTTAAATGTAACGTTTTAGAAAATTTTAATTTCAGTTTAAATTTCGGATTTATAATTTTTATATTTATCAAACTAAAATTTAATTTTTAATTCTGATTCTATATTTTTTATTTAAAATAATGAGGTGAATTTATTAATTTTTTTAAAAATAATTTGAATTAATTTGATGTTCGGGTTTAAATTGACCAATGTTAAAAAATCAGATCCAAAAAGGTTCGATAGCAATAGTTTTGGTCCAAAAAGGCAGTTTTTTTATCTACGTGTCGTCCTTATCACTGTTCCGTTAACGTTGACTAATGGTAACTTGGTCAAGATCTAAATCAACAATAAAATCGTATGTTTGGTTATCGAATTTGAATTAATTTGAGGTTCGGGTTTAAATTGGCCAATGTTAAAAGATCAGATCCAAAAAGATTCGATGATAATAGTTTTGGTCTAAAAAAACCGTTTTCCCCTGTAACTTATCCCACCAATTAAGAGTGTACAACGACAATTCGACACCATTTTAATTACACAACACTACAAAAATATAAGGTCACTACTATTATGAATGGATAAATATCCATTAATACTATAGATAAACATCTTCTAAAGAATGGATAATTCTATTGATAAGATATCAATAGTTTAGCCGACTTACTAAGTCGGTTCATATGCTTAGTTTAATAATTAACGTTGCCTATATATATGATCGAATGTTAAGATAATAAGATGAACTCCCTTTTATCTCTCTTGTTTCTC